TGCAGAACTTATCAGGCAATAAAAGAAAACAAGAGTTCGGTAAATTGACTGGTGAGCATTCTGAGCATAAGGCTACATTGACACTAACATGTTAGGTAGGACCATGCTATCTACCTGCATTCCAACTGTGCAGCCGATTTCACAAATATAATGCATACTACATAAATACCCTGCTCTGAGTGCAAAAACAGTTCACGGCCATCTCTTAATGTATGAATACCACATGAAGGGGTTGCAAGTCAAGACCACGTGCCTGGCCACACGGTATCTCCAGTTCTGATGCTGACATCATTTTAGGCCGAGTTTATATAGGAAAAGCTCAAGTCAGAATTATATATAAAGCGCCACTGTAGTAGGGCATGGTCTAGAAATGAATATGGGTGACTGGGAATTTACAGAAACGTGCAACTCACCATGGCATGAGCATGCCACATATATACACACACATACTTAGCGTGACTGACCTTGAGGGCCAGTGCTTTAGAGCACCTATTCGCACTAGCACAGCAAATTATAAGGTAGTGTAATCAGCACAACACCTAGTGTTGATGTTCACATACTGGATGTGCTAATCTGAAGTTGAGCTAACCTACGAGGGATTCGGCACAAATTCAGATAGTCATCCCTCGTACACAGCAACTCAATATTCGGAATTTCGCCATAACGTAACGTATAAATTTGGGAACAATTTTGATCTAAGTTTAATTCGCATTTATGGATTTTTTTTTATCTCTAAACTATAATTTTTTGGGGGGTGGGGGGGGGGGTGCAGGTAAACAAAAAATGTACAGTCTGTCATTCGTCCAAGCGGGCTTTTCAAGCCGCTCCAGGTCGTTTGTGAGGTGCACTGTTCACACTGTACTGGTTTCTGGTGCACATCGTGCCATCGCCCGAGCTCGACTGTGTCAATCACGCCTCGTACCGTACTGTGCGGGATTTTTCCCCTTTTTCAACGTTCGTCAGTAAAGGTCAAGATGTCTTGAAAGAGGCCATTAAGTGCAAGTGATAGCAACAGTGAATAAAGAGCACGGTCCAGTATTTTTATTCCACACGTTATTTTGAATATTATTATGAAGATTTTACAATAACATTATTAATATAAATGTGCTTATAAAATGTTTCCTGCATTCTTAAGCGTCGTTTTGTTACGTCTTTGGGCCGAGGTTTGTTACGGAGGAATGCATCTCCAATTTAATCATGGATATCAATGGGAAAATAGGGTTCGATAAACGGATATTCGCTTTACAGACAATTTTTCAGGAATGTACCAGTTCCATATTGAGGGATGTCTGTACAAATTGCCAATGCAATGCTTAACCTGGAATAGCAACACAATGCTCCCATCAGTACTCACGCAAATTTATATTCCTAAATGTATACCATTATTTGCTTACACTTCAATGATTCAACTTCCAAGTTTATTTTGTTTAACCAGGTGAGAACTCAAGTCCCATTTGCAAGTGGCCTGGGTAACCAAAATGACAAAAAGCTAAACAAATAAAGTACAGCAATGAAGCAAAGAGAAATCATAACAAAGTGACACATGAGAATTAAAACATATTGCACAAACTTTGAGTAATGCACATAGCGGTCGATGACAAACTACTTTATTGAGATGTGCAGCTCAACGGTTGTATATCAAAGTCTTGTGTCAATACTGTGAAATATTCCTGAGCAGCTTTGCTAAAAGTGTTGTGCTTAAAAACCTAGCCATCTCCAACATTTTCTATGCAACGGAATGAGGAAATAATGAGAAACTATTTAAACCTGCATATAATTGTTTCCATCAACATTAAAATATGAAGTTTCTTAAAATCGGTCAACAATTGTGCCAAGCTGGCACGGGACACAATACTGACCACAATTCCATGCAAGGGCTCCGGCACAATTCTTGCTTGCAAAGTCCACATTTACAACTCACTGGAAGTTACAAGGGTCCTTCCAAAGTCAGCTATGGGATTCTTGCCTTTATAGTGCTTAAGTCAAAAGTCAAAGACTCTTTCTGCCGCTAAAACAAGTGTGGGGCAGAGTTTGTGAAAATTCTATATTCATGTCGGGGAACAATCTCTTTATTGGACCACCACTGTTAACTTCTCAGAAAGAGAGGTTGGCATCTTCTCCCCCCACACCTCTTCCTGATGCTGAGGGGGATGAGTATGATTAAGGAATATGGCTTATGCAGCTGCGATGGCTGTGTTGCTTATGCAGTCGAAACCTCCCCATGGCTGATAAAGAAGATATTCCAGCTGGCTATGACAGAATGGTAAGCCCATTCTTTGTTACTTTTTCCAGCATCCCATGGCCAAGAATGAGGAAGCTTACTGCAAGCTTTGCCTGGGAGGTATGGAAAGCCGTTCTGCACTACAATGATGAACGGTGGTCTTGAGTTGTTGAGGAGGAAACTGCATTGGCAGCCACAATTTGTAGCACCACACCTATCACAAACCGTAAGGGAAAGAATGGTAACCAAATATCTGAGCCACAGGATCAGGTCTACAGATGTGCTGAGCATTTCTGCGAGGTCTTGGGGGAGGGAGAACCCTTCATCAACTCAAACCAACATTATGGGGCAAGGGAGGCCTGACTTACAAACATTGCAAAACCTCAAAGGTTGGAAAAAGTAGCCACCTCCTATACGCAGCTCTCTGTTGAGCAATCTGCCGAGGGTGTGCAAAAAGCAAACTGGAACCTGCGATCAAGTAAAGCACTGGGCAAGGAGTACATCCCAAGTGAATTGTGGCAATTGTTTGCAGGCTACCCTATATGACATAAATAATGGGTTGGCCTACCACTGACCATGTTCTGCATGGTTGAATATATATCATGGTGTTCTCCCTTTCCAAGAATGTGGCATCTCCCTCCTTGGCATGCCAAGAAAGATCTTGACAAGGACTATTCAACACCATCTTGTTAGATGATTAGTAATTTTGGTATTGGAGTGATGGATGGGAAAAAGTCGACTAAACTTCAAAACCAGCATGGACATGTTAGAGCCCAAATGGAGACATTTTAAATTACATTTATTGCAGTCTCATAGACAACCACCTAATTGTCAGATATCAAGAAAGCCAACACATGAAGTGATGTTGTTGCATCAGTGGTGGAAGTTCCAAATTCATGTTTGAGGCTAAACTCTACACTCGATAATCAGTCATTTTTTATTTACCCCAGACGGAAGATTTCCCGAGTCAACCAGCAATAGGGGATTTAAACTCGAGGCCTTCCAACTGTCAGTGCAGCACTTTAATCACAGCAGCACCAAGGTGGATTTTTTTCAGGTTCTGTGGGAAATAAGGAAGTAAAGCAGTAAAGTGTACTGTCATGTCATGTGGATGACCATCCTCCATGTGCACTAAGCTACAATGTGAGTTTCGAATAGACGACAAAATTTCGTACAGTCATTGTCCACCACCGAATTACAAAAGCAACTTTCCTAAGCAGTATCATTTTTAAAAGAAAATGTACTTTATGTTAATGTAGAACACAGTAATAAGTTTACAGCTTATTGGCGCCAGTTCAGTGTGTTGACAGTGTTAGTTCTAGAAAACACTTCACCACTCCCATGACAGCGAGTGATTTTAATATCCTCCATTTTATGAATATTTTTTTTTAAACATCCCAAATATATTCAAAATGTACTCTTGGCATCATACCATTGAATAAAAAAAATGTAATTTGAAGTCTTGCAAAGAAATGCATCCCTCTCTGGAGAACACACGTCATGTTTGTGAAGGAACTTCAATACATGTTATTTCCATACTGGATAGCATACCCTTGCATACAGTGAGGGAAAAAAGTATTTGATCCCCTGCTGATTTTGTACGTTTGCCCACTGACAAAGAAATGATCAGTCTATAATTTTAATGGTAGGTTTATTTGAACAGTGAGAGACAGAATAACAACAAAAAACATCCAGAAAAACGCATGTCAAAAATGTTATAAATTGATTTGCATTTTAATGAGGGAAATAAGTATTTGACCCCTCTGCAAAACATGACTTAGTACTTGGTGACAAAACCCTTGTTGGCAATCACAGAGGTCAGACGTTTCTTGTAGTTGGCCACCAGATTTTCACACATCTCAGGAGGGATTTTGTCCCACTCCTCTTTGCAGATCTTCTCCAAGTCATTAAGGTTTTGAGGCTGACGTTTGGCAACTCGAACCTTCAGCTCCCTCCAGATTTTTTTATGGGATTATCCTTAAAGAGTGTTGTTAAAAGAGCAAATCACTCACAACTGAAATATATACCAAAAGCAATAAAAACAAACATAAATAGTATTGTTTGTGTAGGCATTGGTGACCCAGCCGAGAACATTCCATACACTTGTAGAAAAATGAACAATTCTCACACCTGAAATGTGTGATGAGTGGCGCTAATCTCAAATGGCTACCCCGAGTCAATGATGAAAACTGCACATTTCCAAAACAGGAGCCAGTAACTCTATATAGAAAAGCCACAGTTTAATATTCCCAAATCGTAACCGATTTTATTGACTTTGGAGTAAAGATGTTCAACTGCCAATGGGGTTTTCAACTACCGAACTTCAATTATGAGCCAAGCAACCAACCAACAAACATTGCCACTGAGATTAAAGCACAGATGACCCATATTCAAACCAATGATCGAACAGCGCTGGGTTTTGATTTAAAGCTTTCGTCACTGCAGGGATTCATATTATTGGTTATTTCGGTGAAGTCACGTAGAAGGGAAACAATAAAATAATACAAATATAAAACAATAAAATTCTCACGACGTCTCGACTGCAACACAAGCGATCATCATCAGGTGTGAAAACCACAAATTTTCTTTTGTTTTATATTTTTATTATTTTATTGTTTCCCTTCTACGTGACTTTACCGAAAGAACCAATAATATAGTGCTGAGTTTGTGCTTTTACACAAACATCATGAATCCCATAAGCCACCCAGCCAAACACTATATATTCACAATTGGGAGTCACTGAATTTACCCAAGCAGGGGCAGTGGGTGAGATTCTCACCTGGGTCGTTGGCCTCGCGCTCCAGGACACGTAGCTCAGCACTCTCCGACAGCGAATGATCCAGGCAGAGCTGCAGGAAGCGTGCCTGGGTGCGGCTCACGCGCTTGAGAAGTGCTAGCAGAGCCACCGTCTGCTCGCACTCGTTCCAGCCCTTGAACCATCCCGAGAGGACGCCCACCTGGTCGCGAAACATAGTGCCGCCGCCGCCGCCTGCCAGCATGGCCCCCCGCCGCTCCCCGGCGCTGGCGGCAAGATCGACCTGGGCGGGCGTGCACCTCACCGTGGCGTCATTGGCTGATCCCCTCTTCATGAGGGGATGCACACAAAGTTGGCCACACGGCAGCTGCAAGTGGACATAGGGCTCTCCGCCAGGTGAATTTCACTCGATTTAGCCGTTAAAGCAGGTAACGTCACGATGGAGCAATAGCCTACAGTTGGCGTCATTCATTAAATGGCCGTGGAGGATTGAGGCCCTGAAGCTAAAAACGACCCGAGGACACGTTGTCACCTGACGTTCACTAAACCACTTATGGTGTTTGCTTCAGCAGCCAAGCAGGGTTTTCCACCTCCCCCGGACATTTACGGATCACGACTATTAAAGGCATCGCACGAAGCAGCGTCACCACGATCACGCCAAGAATATCTTCGCTGTTGACTCGTGGTGACAGCAGTACTATTTTGTTTAACACTTCTTAGAAATCAAGTTCACTTATCTGAATGATGCACCTCAAAACGTTACCAATTTCAGCAGAATGGGAATATATCAAGTGAATCGTGATCTCGTAATTCTATTTCCCCATGACGTAATTTTTGGCGACTTTTGGAGTGAGGTCCTGCCTTGCGGTTCTGTGGGCTCTGCACTCAGCTGTGTTTGCAGGAGTCAGGTTTTGCCTTGCAATGCTTGTGCTCTTGTCTTGGCTAACTTCACTGCCCCAAATCCTCGTCTCCGTTGACCTCCTGCACACCCATGCCTCCGGGGCTCTGTGTGTAACAAAACCACACAAACGTAGAGCTCAGTGTTGTATTTTTAGGCCTCATCTCATCCCACAAGAGATGGCAATTCGGACCAAGAATTTGAGCTTTGTACAGTACTGATTATTTTGTCTGTACCCAAATGTTATTGCTTGATTGCAATATATAGTGGCCCATTAAAGTATTAGAAAATGACAGGATTTTGTGCAGGCACGCATTTATTTTGTTTATTTATTGTGGTGCGAATGTACTTTATTCGCCAGGGTAGCATGTCTCAACACATATCACTTTTACTAATCGCAGTACTACACCGAGTGTGAACGTGTGTTGTGACTGGAGCAATATGACCTTTGGTATTTTATTCGTATATTTTACTGGACAAGCTGAAATTCAAATAGCATTCATACAGCATGACAATACAATTTATATATCGATGACCTGTGCAATCGGGTAATTATAAGGTTAGCATGAACGTAAGTATGCTGCAAACATTATTTTAACCATGTAAAGAAATGCAGTCTTTGCGGGATAAGAAAAAAAGGTTAGAAATGCAGACAGCAAAAAAAGGATTACAGAGAATGATAATGACTAAGAATATTTTTTCGTGTATTTTAATACAAGTATAACACTGCAAAACTACTGCAATGAAAAATAAGTACGTATTATATGTATGAATACAAAATAAAAGGCTGAAAACAGTATACAGTGTTATTTCTACCAATTCAGTATAACATTACGACGGAGTGATCAAGTTAACTCCATAAACGATATTATCAGTTATAAAACGAATTACATTGCAGTACTATAATTATAAGACGTGCCGAGAGAACACAGACTTGTGTTAAAATATATAACAAGTACAGAGTGGCACTATAGTAGGCAGTACATTGCGGTACTAGTACTGCTGTAATAAAACAAATCATACAATTTAACTGCAATTAGAACAGGCAACGCAATTAATAATATAAACATATTATATCCATCGTAATAAGAAAGCTACTGTTAAATAGTAACCACGCTGAGAATGAACGTGTTCATCAGAGGGCAGTGCAGCAAGATCCATTGTTGCACTATACTCCAAGCTCCCGCATCTACGCTTCCCACTCTTACCAACCCTGCTCGTCGTGAGGAGTCCAAAATCCAGCAGTTGATTTGACAAAAAGGCCGTGTACATGGATCATACGTACTTCAAATAACAAGGCTTTAGGAACACGCACGTTTATTATATTCTCGCGTGTGGAAAAATGTTCAGGAGCCCAAAGTCTGCTAACCACAATTCAGGAGAGAGTTCGTTAAGTTTTGCTGTTCCTTCTAACTAAAGGAGCGCAGATCCCAGCGGTTTACTACATGGTCCGTAGATTATAATACGCAACAATAACGAGGTGTACTTCATAATTCAAAAACGAAACGGACGTGTTGGAGGTAACAAGGCCAAACACTCGCACTACCTCGAAAACACGTGGACTTGAACGTAGCCAGCGTACGAAAACCTCGTGAATTCACACCAAAAAAATAAAATCTATACTCCTTAAAAGTTGAAGTCTGTCAGATGGCGTGACGTCACTCGAGTGCTTATAATGACAAGATTTTGTCCACACGCGCACACACAAAACCCCCATTGAATAACAAACAACACGCCACGAACGGCGTGCATAACCGAGGCGAGAAGTACTGTGCACAGCGCAGCATTCGCGCTATGACTCACGTCCTCCGCTCAAGTTAACAGGACGCCGCTCCGCGGGTTCGCCTGCGGGATTCGACGCCGCTCTCCCGGTAGGGACGCCCAGGCAAACTGTGGGGGGTTCGAGCCCCGAGGCTCGAGCAGGCCGCGCCGGACAATTTCACCGAAACTTGGTTGGGGACAGCGGCCCTCAACGCTAGCGACTTTCCTCTTTCGAACTGGGTTACGTCTCCGCACACGCAGCAACTTCCCTCGCACGTAACTGATCAGCGACTGTTCGATTGTGTCTTTTTATTCGAATACTAATTCCCTGAAATAGCATCTTAAATCATGCGTTACGCGTCGCACTGCGATTACCGCACTACCGCACGACGATTATTTGGTAATCGGGTCCCTCTCTCCAGCACGAACTACAGAGAATTACCACGTCGGTAACTCGTAATTATTAATTGTAAATGTAATAATAACGACAATAATACCATTGCTTGCCTTGCGTTGGCGGGAGCCCCGTGCATACGGCCGGAGCAGCCGCGGAGCGATCCCGTTATGGGACTGGGAATGGCACCGCCTCCCAGAGAGCACGATAACAAAGTGCACCCAAAAAATCCAGACAACACGCCCATCGGCAGGTTCACAAGGTGCACCCCAGAAGTCCATGCGACACGCCCATCGGCATGTTCACAAGGTGCACCCCAGAGGTCCATGCGACACGCCCATCGGCATGTTCACAAGGTGCACCCCAGAGGTCCATGCGACACTGCATGCTCACAGGGTGCACACCAACCGCCATTCGCCACCAAGTGGCGGTGACGTCTCCACGGACGCTTGTGCCAGGCCATGTGCACGTTAAGGCCACGTGAAGTGTCGAACGCCCGCTGGCAGGAGGTCACGGGGCAGACTCAGCAGGTAGGTCATGGGTCGACTGACTGAGATGACTGACCGATGCACCACCTGTGCCGGCTACTGTGCCACAACTTGCTGTTTTAGCCACCCGGCGCTCCGCCCGTTGTTGTGAGCGTCGCTCCTCTGCCCTCTGCTGTTGCTGTAGGGCGACTGCCTCTACTACATCTAAAACAATCTGGGTTCCGAAAAAAATACAGCACATCTGCTGCTTTAGACTCTCTGAATCACATTTACAGTAGCCTTGATAATAAGCAGTAATATATTCTTGGTTCTTTCGGTAATGTCACGTAGAAGGGAAACAAACAATACAAATATAAAACAATAAAATTATCACGACGTTTCGACTGCAACCCAAGCAATCATCATCAGGTGTGAAAACCACAGCAAATTTTCTTGCTGTGGTTTTCACACCTGATGATTGCTTGTGTTGCAGTCGAAACAGCAAGAAAATTTGCTGTGGTTTTCACACCTGATGATGATTGCTTGTGTTGCAGTCGAAACGTCGTGAGAATTTTATTGTTTTATATTTTTATTATTTTATTGTTTCCCTTCTACGTGACTTTACCGAAAGAACCAAGAATATGAATCCCTGCAGTCACGAAAGCTTTAAATCAAAATAAGCAGTACTGTGCCTGCCTTTTTCTAGACCTGTCCAAAGCTTTTGATACAGTAGACCACAACACTCTGCTTAGTAAACTAAGTTGCCTCGCTTTTTCCGAAAACGCAGTAAAATGGTTACAAAATTACCTCTATTCTCGCACCCAAACTGTATTCACAGATGGTTGGAGGTCAGTGTTAAGATAACAAAAGGGGTTCCACAGGGTTCCATCCTCGGCCCCATTTTGTTCTCTCTTTATGTCAATGACTTGGGCACTGACCTGGATCATTCCAGGGTAAATCTTTTTGCAGATGACGCGATACTGATTACTGCTGGCCGCTCTCCGGATGACGTGATTGCTAAGCTACAGGGTGATTTCAACAAACTACAACATCAGCTAGTTGCTCTTAAACTAGTCCTGAATACCTCCAAAACCAAGGTGCTATGCTTCTCACCAGAACTAAAGCAGGAAGCTATTTTTCCCAAATTACATTCCTTAAATAATTATCAAATAGAGCAAGTCAAGATCTATAAGTATCTTGGGGTCATCCTGGATTCAAACTGAATTTTGAAGATCACATTGATTATATTGGTAGAAAGACAAAAATAAAAATTGGTTTTCTGTACTGCACTGCTTCCCCCCAATGTTCCGTTTGGAATTGATAAAAGCTACCATACTGCCTCTACTTGACTACTGTGACATTGTGTATAAATCTGCCCCAAGTACTGTACTGAAGAAGCTTGATTCCATCTATCACTCGGCCTTAAGATTTACATTGAACTGCCCGTATAGGACTCACCACTGTGATCTCTACATTGGGTCAAACTTTACATCTCTTGATGTTCGACGGCTTGTGCACCAGATCTTATTTATTCACGATGTAGTAACAAAAAAATCCGCAGACTACCTGCTGGAGCTCCTCTCTGTTTCAAAGAACAAATTTGACCTCAGGTCTTCGCTCATTTACCAGCTTCACATTCCCTATTGCAGTACAAAAACTGGAGGAAGGGCCTTTGCTATTGATGCCCCCAGGGTCTGGAATGCTATTGCCAATAAATTGCAACTTGAATCGCTACCAATGAGATCTTCTCTCAAAACTGCTCTAGAGGAGTTGTACACCGCTAGGTGCCACTGCTATTCATTGTCGTAAAATAAAATGAAATGTTTTCGCTCCGGATGACGCTGCAAAGTATTATCTGTATTTTTATTTAGTGTGCTGATCTTAAAGGTGCATTGAAAAATTTGATACTCCGACTGATGCTTCTGGTGTTGTGGAGTAACTCATGCAGCCAGCTATGGCTCTCGGATTTGGTGTTACATGTTATTTATGTAGTTTATTGTAAAAATCCGGTCACAGTCCCTATGATCACTGTTACGTTGCAATTATGGCTTTATTTTTTGGTGATTTCGAAAACGTTTTTTGGTTTGGACATTTTTGTTTTGTTGTAGTACGGAGTTAGACTGATGGCCTTAATCTAAGTTTTCTTGTGGTTGTTGTTGTTTGACTTGCATCCCACTGGGATTTTTTGCACACAGCGTTGGTGTACGGTGCTTTTTTCAGGAATATTTTGCTGTTTTTTTTCATAGATTTTCTGTTTGCACAGTCACATAGTCACTTTAAGATGTTGTTCTTGTTCGTGTTTTTGTTTTTTTGTTTGTTGTGGTTGCACCCGATTCAAGAGCCGAATGGCTCACAGGACTATACCAAAATAAAGAAACTGAAACTCACTGCCCAGTAGCGTCCTTCGCGAGCCTCCTCTTGACACCACTGGTACCAGTTATTGGCAAGTCCACTCAGCTCCACATCCTCCTGTACCACATCACTTAATCCCTTCTCTAGCCCGTTCCGTGCCCGTTTAGGCATACGTTGGCTGGACATGCAGGCTACATGACCCAGCCAACTTAGCCTTGCCTGCTGGAGGAGCTCACCGATGGGACTTTGTCCAGATCTTTCAAGGATTTGTGAGTTCCTGACACAATCCAGCCTGGTTAAACCCAGGATGGATCGTAGGCAGGCCAGCCTAAATGTTTCGAACCAGCGAAGATGTTCCATTAGGGGGGTCCACGTTTCGCAAGCACAGAGAAGAGATGGCATGACCGTGGCCGAAGAGACCCGAAGCTTCGTGTGGAGCGACAGACACAGCGTTACGCAGCCGATAAAAAAGATAATGCCGCTCGACTGATTCGGAGTGAGACCTCTACTGTAAAACCAGAGCCGGTCATGAGCACACTCTCCACTCTCTCCACAACTGCCCCATCACCAATTGGGAGTTGTGGGTGGAGTGTCTGATGGCACAAAATATCCAGGCAGGTCCTTAGTTTTGGTGGGGTTGCTGGTAAGGCCTCACCTCTTAGTGGCAAGCTCCAGGTTCAGCAGCAGCGCCTCGAACTCCTCCTCTGAGTGAGCAGCAATCACCAGATCATCAGCATACATAACATGGTGGACCAATCGGGAGCCATTCCTTGACCACACCCGGGCATCCATCAGTCTCCCTTTGTATCTATACCAGATGGAAATTCCTCCAGTACAGCTATCGAAGGCTTCACGAACTACGTGGTCAAAATAAATGTTAAATAATGTGGGAGCCAGTGGACAACCCTGTCGCACCCCAAGGTGAATTGGGAATGGCTCCGACTCCCGGCCATGTAGTTTTACCCGGGCCTGCCCACCATCATGAAGGTCCTTCCTTTATGATTGTAAGAAGAGTCAGGGACTCCGAAAGCATGAAGAACAACCCAGAGCCCAGGCCTACTGATGGTATCATAGGCCTTGACCAGGTCAATAAAGCATAGATGTAGGTCCTATTTGAATGCCCTACACCTCTGCTGTAGCAAACGGGCAGAAAATATATCATCTGTGCAGGACAGCCCTTTCCTAAAACCACATTGAGGCTCCGCAAGCCTCTCCTCAGCGTGTCTGGCAAGGCAATGTGGAATAATCCTTTCCAGGACCTTTCCCGGCACACTGAGGAGGGAGATGCCCCTGTAGTTGTTACAGTCTGTGCGGTCCCCCTTCTTAAAGAGGTGGTCCCCCTTCTTAAAGAGGGAGACCATCAGGGCATCCTTCCAATATTGCGGAACCCGTCCAGTGGTCCAGACTGTTATTATGATGTCATATAGGGCAGTCTGCCACCTTCCTTCAGCATTTCGCTTGGAAGATCACCTCTGCCCGGTGCTTTTCCTGGTCTCAGACTCTGGATCGCCTTCTATTCTTCCTCAACAGATGGTACTTCAGCCAGCCACTCACAGAGGGTGATTACTTCTTCAATCACACACCCACCAGCAGGTTCACAAAGTGCACCCAAAATGCAGAATGACAAGCGGACTGGACGATTTACAAGGAACACTCAAGAAGCAGTGGGCGTAAAACCCGGAGATGCGCCCCTCCCCTACAAATTCCATATAATTTCAATTAATAGAAAAAACGTATTTTTACAACCATGATTTAATGTATGTATTGTGAGCTTTAAGATTAAATGTAAATACATTTCCACTGGGAGATGTATAGGGTATATACATACAAAGCAGTTGAACATGTTCAACGGCATATTACGTTTGTATGTATGTATGTGTGCATGTAGTTGAACTTATTTTGCACCGTATGTAGCCAACCGTGCGGGAACATAGTATAATGATTGGTTGATGTGACTGTAGTTGACAAGACGTTAACTTGTTAAATCATTATCTTCATATCGGGCAAAACTGCAGTAATGCAAATGTTTTACAATATAGCACATTGCAGTATGTATTTTTTGTTTGGTTTTGACTTTGACACTAGCACATAAGACATGGTCACGAGGTCTTGTGATGGATCAATCTGCATTGTGAAAATGTTTGGTTGACTGATAGTCATTCGCCTTTCCAGCTACAGAAAAGTGCCGTCCAGTATTAAGATACAGAAAACTACCGCACAGTATTGGATGAATATGAAAATGCTCCGTTTGTTGTAGTATGACCAAATGTTTAAAATG